GGCCATTTCGATTTGATTGGTCCGGATGGCGCCATCATCTTACCGCAGGTCTGGGAGTACGACATCCCGAGTCTTTTGTTTCCCTTTTTTGTAAAATTTTTACTCCCATATGCAATATGTTCCTGCATACTCCCGATCAAAAACGAGTCGATTTGATACTGCAAGCGGTAATTTCTAACTCCTGATTTCTTCTAGTAAGACTATTCAGCCTGGCTGGACTATCACGATGCAAATGTGGCCAATTGCGGGACCGTCTGGACCTGGCCCCTCGCTGCCGCCCACGATGCCACCACCCCCTGGAGGGCCACCGATACCGGCACCTCACCCTCCATTTCCATCGTCACTCCCTCCCCGTCCAGCGGAGATTCCGAATTCTGAGTACGTCGTCGTGGAAGAAGAGGAAGAGTCTGACGAACGATTGGGCATGAGCGACGCATCGTCAGGTTACGATACAAGTATGGAATCGTCAAAACCATCGCGCAGGGCGAGGATAGCAAGCGCTTTCTCATCGTTGAAATCGACGATTTTTCGCAGACGCCGGCGACATGCCTCATTGCCCTCTGTCATTTCCGCCTCGGTATCAGAATCTTCAGTATCAGAATCATCAGCACCTTCACCCAGAAGTTCACCCAGACGTTCACGATAAAATGTGTTCATTTGCACGTTATACAAGCGATCATGCGTGAAGGGACTTTTATTACCTAGCACGTACATCGAAGACTCATCAAGGTCCAAATACTCTCATACATCCCTAAGCGATAACCCAAAAATCCTCTACGACATCCGTGATACTTGATGTGCGACCTCTGGTGCACCGTCACCTTGATCCCCATAGGTTGCCTACAACGCTTCATGTTGCACAACCCTGCCAATATTTCGAGTCTTAAGCCCAGCAACGATATAAACCAAAGAGACAACGAGCTCTTCGATAATCTCGAGGCCGACCTTCAAGCCCACACTACCTGTGACCGGGTTCAACACGGGGTCGTCCGTGAAGAAGTACACGAGACTGGTCAGCAGACGGATTCCCAGGAACGGCATCGCCAATGCAACAGCGCACACCAGCGTGCGACCCCCGATTAAAAAGTCTCCCGCCTTGCTCCGTCCGTTATACACGCGCGCCGCTGTGAACCCCGCTAAGACCGTGACAGCAAGCCAGGCGAGGAGCAGCAGTACCTCGCCGACTTTTACGAGCGTCTGGTTCTTCGAGATCGCGTCCGGCTGGGAATTGTGATTTTCGGTTATGTCCGATAGGTTTGACGCACCGGCTGCGACAAGCGCTATGGCGGCCGCGACGAGCTGATGGAAGACTACGATGCCAGCTATTTCGAGTACGCGTCTTCGTTTCGGGAAGAGGTATGCACGTCTGTAAGGTCCGAATAAAGTAGAGGTTAGATATATGGGATTTCAAGGAGCAAAACGCAAATTAATGAGAATAAATGTTTATCATCTTACGATTCATGGAGAATACCGCATGTGGATAGGAGAAGAGGCGAGAGCCCAATGTTCGCGACCAGTGCCGCCGTCGAGTCTGTCGGGTCACCCAACTGTAAGGCGCTGGATATGATGCGCAGGGTGCAGAAGGCGAAGAGGTAGAACCAACCGAGTATCGCACCATGACGGATCCCGTGTTTGAATATGATGAAGATTGTTGGGAGGGATAGGAGGCTGTAGATGGCTAAGAGGGCAATGGGGAGATTGTTCGAGGACATGGCTAGGAGAGAGGCACTGAATAATTGATGCGTGTGAGAAAAAGAGACAGAATGAATAGGGGGTAAGGAGTATAATGATACTAATGTAGTATTGTACAAATGCTGCTTACAGACCTGGCCTTAATACGCATAATTTCTAAGAAAGAGCTCAGAACGCTTGGCGAAGGGCGGCTTATGTATTCAAACAAGGAGGGCAAAGTCCCTGATACATACATTCTATACGCGCTCATATTTTGCTACGGATCCCTCATTTACTCCAGTGCTCTGCCGTCCTGCGACGTTTTATCCCTATTCTTCAACGGCCACGCACTTCAGGTATCTGTGATGATGGATGGACTGTGGCGGAGCAGGACCCTGACAGCGCGTAAGGCATCAATTCTGCGGACCAGGCATCTATTTCTCCAGCGTCTGTGGACATCTCCGCATATGGATTCTTTGAACTGGCTTTTCTTCCCATCGTGGCTGTGCTTAGATAAGCTAGGTCTAGGTGTTTAGGGAGAGATGATTGGCTCTGTTTCTCATGGGTTTTACACTCCAATAATGGGCACAACCATAGTAGAGGAGGCTTAGATAAAGGAGGCCTCCGAATGGATGTCTACGGTTGGCTGTCATAGTAATGGAGATATGTACACGGATATGATCTCTATCTGGCTGGTTTTGATATTCGCAAGACTCTCATTATCTGTTTGGAAGTTGTCTAACTTTATGATAAAAAGCGTCGAAATAAACGGATTTTAACGCCATGGGTTTCCAGGGTGTACGCCACTACTTACTCTAATTTAAACATGGGTGCCTCTGTCTTCTGAGAAAATCTATTGCTGATTGTATCTTCTAACAGTAGCGGATATTGTGTTAACATTATACAACAATGTGAAACACGTCTCGAGCCCGAAATAGATGGAATATGAAGTGTCGTTTCTTGTGAAATAGCCCTCGAGTACCTCACATTGCAGAAGCGTCGCGCTCAGAGTCTGACCTCTCGTCAGAGTCGGACTCCGCATCGATTCGGGAGGTTTGCGGTAGTTTCAAGAAGACCGCCATAACAAACATTATAACGCAAAGGCCCGACACGCCGAAGTACGGTAGACCCATCCAGATGCCGCCAAGCCGCATACCGAGCGAGAACAATGCCGCAAGCGCCGGCGAGACCCACAAGTCGCTCGCGATGGCCGAGAGCCCCAGGATAGTGAATAATCGAGATCGCTGTTGGGGACTAACATAGAGCGTCGCTATGCCCTTGAGAAAACCTTCGGCCGATACCCCGAACGCGAGGATCATGAGGCCGAATATGAAGCTGGGCAGAGACGGGGACAAGCCGAGGACGAAAGTTCCCAGCATTGTCGTTACGGTTGAGGCCTGGGCGAAGAATAGATCGCGTCGCTTGTCGTCATCGAAGCGCAGGAAGGCCGGTGCTCCGGGCTTTAGAAGGGCCGATGAGACGAAGGGCAGGATAAAGAAGGAGACCGTGATGAACGCTACGCCATAAGCAGACTGGATGTAACCCGTATCCGCGAGTGGAATGTGATAACGCTTCGAAGTGAATTGGCTGAGGAACTGGAAGGTACACATCAAGACAGAGAGCTGCAGCATGGTGATGAGTAGAATTAGAATCAGCGAAGGCGAACTGAAGAGGCTGGCTGATTTCTTCAGTTCACCGAGACCTTGCGTGAGCCGTGCCTTGAAACCGCCATTGTCCCATTCATTGCTATCGTTCTGGGGCTTGTGTTTCAGGCTCTCTGGAACGAGGAAGATGGCGAATGCTGGGAACGCAGTTAACAGGAAGGATAGGAAGAGTGGCGGCCAAGGACCTGTCCGAGCCATCATTACTGAGGCCAGGGCTGGCGAGACCAGATTGCCGACCATGCTTGCGCCAGAGATTCGCATGAAGCTGAGGGATCTGAATTCTGGTCATTAACAACATCCCATTCGCACTCTGGTAGAAGAGAACTCACCTTTCGGATTCGGGCACTACATCCGCGGCCATACTGGCGATAATCGCTGACAGAACTGGATTACCACCGCCCAGCAGGTATGCAATTGGCGATAGCCATATCAGTCGTGGAGAAAGCGTCTGGTGAAACCATCCTACGACCATGATCCAGAGTAGTGCTATAGACATGCCGGCCAAACCCAGCGCAAAGACTGGACGTCGCCCAATTCTGTGAAGGCAAGCAAGTCAGTACTTAACAGTCTCAATGCCACTACAAATCATTTCCGAAAGAAGCATCACCAAGCTCACCTATCAGCCGCAATACCCCAGGGCAGGGCAGCAAGAACACTAAAACCGGCATTGAGCGAAAACATGACGGCAAAGAGGTACGCAAGCTCGGATTGGATAGCATCGACCTTACACATGGCCTCATTGATGGGCTCATCACTGCCGTTGCTGCGAATCTGGTCATAGTACTGGCGACATAAGATATCCTCGAAGATCCTAGTCATGGACATGTGCTGGAAGCCAGCCGACGCCGATCCGACGAAGATGACGATACATAAGATAGCGATGATGCTGTTGGGGCTCTGGGACTTTGGCACCGCAAGTGAGGCGATTGAAGATAACCTCCGTTGAAACCCTGATGATGCCCACGTGGAAGGGCTGCCAGCACCAGGCCCCTTGGGGATCAGGGGCGTTTGCTCGGTGCTCCTTACGATATCATCATCTTCGCGATAGCGCTCGTCGGATGTCGATCGCGCGGCCATTGTTGTTGCCGAGGTCTACCTGACGATTGAGCAATCTGGCCGGGCGTCTTCAACACCAGTTGAATAATTCCCTAGACCAGCTGTGCATCCGTTTATAATGAGTGGACATCCTCGAGGACATACTGATTTTCCAGTTGCGAGCCTTCATAAATAAGTATTGAGATTGAAAAAGCTGTCCTGGTAGCAAACAGGCTTTGGAGGAAGACACATACGATGGATCACTAGTTTCAAGGCCAAGCGCCCTGCCTGTCTGGCTGGATCGTCAACTTGCGCTGACGCAAATCATTTTTTAATTCCGAATGGGCGCCAAGACCTGCTGAGATCCATTTCATTCCAGAGTCCTCGCCTATAATGGTTAAGCAAGAAGCTTAAAACTCTATTGTACGCGTATTTCGTAGTCGTCATGCAAAAAGGCTTCTCATCATCATGCATATTGTATCATTATTTCTAGTAGCCGGCTGAGGTTATGTGACTATGGCAAATCCCACCACTCCATGGAGTGTATTCCTCCAAGCACCCAAAAAATATAAACCAAAAATGGGGGAAATACAGGGCTACTCCCAGTGATCTGGGAAACATTAGGAATTGAGCCCAATGCGGGGGTCGAACCTATTATATTAGGATTAATACTTTGGTTCTTTATTTTATCAAGCAGCTGAACATGTTACTCACCCGCAACCTTGAGATTAAGAGTCTCACGCTCTACCGATTGAGCTAACCGGGCGAGTTATTTTCCGGAGATGCAATGCCCATTAATCAAGTGTGGTTCAGGGATAGGTGTTCGTCAAGAAACGAGTCGCTAGTCTAATGAGTACGAACGCGTTTACGCGTTCTTCGTGCTGCTGGTCATGTTTCGTGAATGGCCCCAAGTTGTTGATTCATTCCGAAACCCACTTAGAAGCGAGAAGAGCAGGGATAGCAGGGTTAGGTGAGTACTCCGAACTCCGAAATTTCTCTGCCGAGGAGCTGTGGAGCTTCATATGCACGGACTTGCGCGTCGGTTATGTTATGTTCAATAAGATTGGTGAACTATCGACTCATCCATGATCACTCTCTTTCCTTCACTATATTTAAATAGCTGACGCGTTCTGATTTCCTCTGATATCGAAACAGGAACGGAATGAAGCCATCATGATCGGTGCGGTAAGATGATTGATTAGATCATTCATTGCTAAGGGGCGGACGCCAGTGAACTTCATCTCCCGCGATAGGAGATGAGCTGACCGCAACACATCTATTGAGATCAAGGTGAAGATGAAGACACGAACTTGGTTTGAAGGTGGCCTAACATCTATGCACTTAAACTAGCCCTTATCAGTATGAGCGCTATCGACCTGTCTACGCAATCCCTGCTGTATTTTGGATGCGAATCATCACCAGTGACATACCCTTCACACTCGGCGTCTTCGTTGGAGGCCCTTGGAGATGATAGCGGACGGTCGCGTTGTCAAATCTGAAGCCTCTGGTGACCTGGAACGCAAGATGGGTGTATGCGCATTGGCATAGATAGTCAAGTGCTGGAATGGCATGTGTCCGGAATTGCGGCGACTCTAACGTTAAGCCAAACACGAATGAGGATCTTGTTGAGCTATCCCCTTTCTTTTCGACTTATCTACCCAGCCGAAATCAGCGCCGAAGCAGACTGTTCACCGATAAATCTAGCCGAATGGTATGAAAGGGGTCGCGGCCATTATCACCGACCTCTTCACTGTGTGCTGGTGGTATTTTCTATAGTTATAGGATACGAATATGGCGGTCGGGGCAACATGATTGAGCCGGCAATGAGTTTTCCTTACATTGCTGCATCACGTCGCTGAGTGGGTAGGTGGTGTCAGCGCTGGCCTGATAATGTCATTGAAGGATTTTATCGAGAACCAACGGTGCTTCTATGATAGGGGAGATGTTTTCGCTGTCAGCGAAAGGCGCTATACACACGTGCACATCTGATTCTTAAACAGGGTCATCTCATTTCGACATGAAACGTTGCACAGTACCTCTGCTGATGTCTTGAAGAGGGAATCATCTTACCACCGCAATACAGCTCTTCATGTTGTTGTCATATCTTCATCGTGGATGCCTCACATACCTCCCCGCAAATAAACGGTATTTAGCCTAATAGCAACTGCCGTCAAGTTTGGTCGAGAAGCAATAGATTTCAGATCATTAAATGATACCATCCATGGTAAACTTAGGTCAAGATACAAAGACCAATGGAGATGTGCCCTACGAGTTCGGGGATAACGTGAGTGGCCAGGGCCCCTCATGCCGACCGTCAGTTACATCGCATACTGCATGGAGGAAGTCTAGAACTGCTGTTTTAATAACACTGCATATTCCGCTTACCTATATAAATAAAGCTTGTGATCGACAATATTCCCTCTAGAAGCCACCATGCTGAGGCCATTATCTCAAAGCCATATATGAACAATGAAGGTTACGTTGTTTTTGTGTTTGATCATCCCGCTGACGGCGCTCAGAATCGAAAGCTCTTGTATAAGGGACCGGAAGAGAAAGCTTACGGTTGAAACTTCAACGGGGCGTTATACGGGCCTTCAAGATCCTAAATACTCAGGGGTCAGGGAATTCCGCAACATCCCTTACGCAGAACCACCGGTTGGCAAGTTACGATGGAGGCCTCCAGTTGCGCTTCAACCGTCGCGTCAGCATCACTACTCTTACAGATTCCCACCGCCATGTCCACAGTATCTATCAAGCTCACTGTCGCTATGGAACTCTAACATTACGGACTTCTCAATCTCTCCAGGCGATCAAAGCTATCATGCTGGAGAGATGGCACAGACAAGCGCTGAAGACTGCCTTAGCCTGGCTGTTTGGACGCCCATCAACGTCACATCTGGAGACAAATTGCCAGTAGGGTTGTTCGTACCTGGTGGCAGTTTCAAAGGAGGGGGTTTGGGTGCTCCGTACCACAATCCAGCCGGATGGATAAATCGGACCCAGCAGCATATTATGGTGACTATAAACTACAGAGTCAATATCTTTGGCTTCCCTAATGCCGCGGGATTAGAAGACCAGAATGTCGGTATCCTTGATCAGAGGCTCGCATTAGAATGGGTTTACTCGAATATCGAGGCCTTTGGAGGGGACCGAAATCGGATCACATTATGGGGACATTCTGCAGGCGCCCTGTCAGTTGACATTCTGAACTTTGCGTACACAGATGACCCCTTGGCTGCTGCCTTTTTCCTTATGTCGGGGACAGCAATGCGGACGTTTGCTCAAGGAGACAATGCACTACAAACAAACTTCAGCTTTGTGGCAAAGAAACTTGGCTGTGACTTTCCAGAAGATGCAGAAGCAGAGCTGGAATGTATGCAACAAGTCCCCGCCACCCTTATCTCAAACTTCGTTGGTCATTATGGTGATAATCGCACCAAGCCAGCACTTTTCTTTCGACCAACAGCCGACGACAATATTATATATAAGAACTACACCGACCGAGCGCTGAAAGGGCACATCTCCAGGGCCCCAGCCCTCGTATCTGATACCTCAAATGAACAATCAAGTTTGATAGCATACCCTGTCGACAACTTGAGCAGTGGGCCCAACAAAACGGACGTTGATAAGGGCACCTTGAGCGATTTCATCTGCCCTGCTTACAACACGTCAAATGTGCGTGCAGACAACAAGCTTACTACATATCGGTATCAATACGTTGGCAATTATTCAAACATAACCCCGTACTCTTGGATGGGCGCCTACCATGGTGCCGACTTGCCAATGATTTTTGGAACATACAATCTTTCAGGTGGAGCAACCGATTTTGAGAGGCAAGTGGCTGAGAAGATGCAAGACTATGTATTAGCCTTTCTCGCAGACCCTCAGGACGGGTTGTCCAATCTTGGGTGGCTTCCAAGCCGTGGTTCAAAGAACGGTGATGGGAAGATGGTGCGCTTTGGTGCAGCAGAGAACACCATAAAGAATATAAGTTCCATTGAGGTCGATAGTGCATGTATGGGGACAGGAGTTTATAATGCTACCCCAGATAAATGAATAAAGGGGAAATAAGAGTTTGCTCATTGTTCTCTCTTTAAGTATGCAAGTTTGGGTTTAAGACAACATGACAAGCAGTTTGCTTTGAAAGCTTGTCAACTGATACACTCTTCAGTTCTAGTAGGCACCTGTAATGACTAGAATTCGACTATTACTTCGGCATTGTCCACCTGTTTTACAGACGACGCGTTTTGTTAGGGATTTTGACGTTACCTGTAACTATGTACCTCCACCTAACAACAACTAGGTCGTCGAGCCGGACGATAGTCTAACCACCCTCCAAAAGTGGATAACACTACTTCAAGTGCACTGTGCACACAGTCTCAACCCTCGCTATTGACCAGTGCAACTCGTTTCTTCTTCCAACCACTCTCACCTCCCAGATCTCACTCATATTTTCTCTCCCTCATAATGAAACACGGCAGTCCAGGAAACATCAGCTACTCCGAGGTGTTGACGAGGTCGAACACCACTCAACTCATTCTCTATATTTCCACAATATCACAGGCAGAAGGCTTACTACAATGAGGAGGCAGCAGCAGTTTCAAGGCATGTCGTCCAAACGACACTGCCCACCTCGGGAGTTCACGATGAACTCCCAAGGGAACCAGCAGCAGTTAAACAACCAGTGGCTGTACAACAGCGGTGGGCAACTCTGGGGCCACACGCCTATGCCTCAGCAACCTGCACAGCAGCAGTCCTACACCAACACATATCTCCAGCCGGACTTCATGTTTTGCAATTACAACAACATACAGGCAGTACCGTCGAACCTCAACAACACCACGGTACCGGCGAGCTTCGATGAAAACACAACAGTACCAGAGCCGACGCACTTTAATATCAACCCAGGTCTGACATTTGGGCTTGACACCATCATCAACCCGTCACCGAACCTCAACACGTTCCTGGAAGGCTGGCCAGACGATTTCATGATGCAGAACGAGCTGAATGAGAGCGGGTTTCCTCCCATTCCCGAGCCTGACCAGCGGCCGGAACAACTTGAGATTAATCAACAGCTGTGGCCAAACTTAGAGTGCGATCTGCTGGAAATTGCTACGATAGGGCCGCCTATAGGCATCAACATGATCCCTTCTCCTCAGCCTATCGGAAGGAATATTCCCGCCGTACCACCCTTCCATTCTCGCGAACCCTTTGCGTATCGACCACATCTTCCAGGACACAAAAAGAACGGCGCTACAATCCCCCCACCGCGGGATAGGAGCAACGTGGACATACTAGATATAGTACGCTCCCCGCCACCGCCTGTAATCTCCTCTTATGAGATTATCATACCGTTAATTCCGCCTGAGGGCCAAAACCAACACGCACCGAAACCACGAGCGAAGCCAGATGGTGAGATTCGCCCACCTGACACAACTATACCAAATCTACCTTCTCCAACCCTAGATGTGGAAATGTACGAACCGGCACCAGGTGGAAGTCTAGCTTCTCAGTTCGGGCTCCTCGTGGGTTACACCTACGCCGATAAAGAAGATCAGAATCAGGCCATACGTGGTATAAATGAGGAGATAAATCACGATGCCCAAGCCCAAGCCAAAGAGGCACTCCGAGTCAGAGAACAAGAAGCCCAACAGCGCCAGCCCGCTAACAATTTCGAATGGTTAGGCGACCCGTCCGAATATCCCGCCGAGTGCTACGAGGATCTGCAACTGCCGGGGTGCCAGTTCCGTCGCCGGGCAATCTGCG